AAAAAACTTGAAATCCATGCAAGTTTCGTCACAGTGCACTTTTTCCATGAGGTTTTTGAAGACACCTTATCTTTGACGCTGCCCGAGTCCCAGAGAGAACTGGCTCCTGCCCCTTCCTGTTAGATCGCCCACAGTGCTGGGGCGGGGGTCAGAGCAGGGACGGCAGCCCCAGGGTGACCTCCCGCAGACTGCCTGCTGTGCCGTGTGCGGCCTGGGCCTGGGCCAGTTGTCCAGCTCTGAGCCCCAGGGTCCTCTGTAGCCCGGAGACAGTAGCGCTTGTCAGGCCCCTGTGCAAATGCAGCGAGGCAGTGCAGGAAAAGCAGAGAGCCTGGCTCCCAGGCCAGCAGCCAGGAGAGTCCAAGTTGATCCAGTCCCAGAGCCTCCCCAGAGGAGGGGCTTTGAGGAAGATTAGGTGTAGTGGCATTGGATGGAGTGCCAGTCTCATCGGGGTAGTCCCACCTACCCGTGCCTTATCAGGGCTGAGGACACAGCCTGGGCACTGGGAGACACGGAGTGGGGGAGCCTGGAGCCACGTGGCATTGAGGACCACTGCTCCATGCTACTTCCCCCCAGTGTGCCCAGCAGCTCAGAAGGTAGCCAAGGAGGTGGTGCCTCCGTCCCCCCGAGCTCCAGCCACCCTCTCCCAAGCCTGCCTGGGGCCACCTGCTCTAGGTGCCCCCGCTGTGCTGCCAGGCCTTAGCATTTGTGGTGATGCAGGCGGAGCCCCCAAGGAGGAGTCCTGCGGTGCCCCCGGCCCGGCCCCCGACGGCACAGGAGGTGTGCTACCTGCGGGCCCAGCAGGCGCAGAGGGCATCGGCGAGCTTGCTGCAGGCCCCCCCCAGGCTGGCGGAGAAGCTGCCCTCCGTCCACATCTCTGCCCCTGGTGAGAAGAGGAGGATCGCCCACATCCCCAACCCCCGCCTGGCTGCAGGTGAGTGCTGACCCAGGAGGCCTGTGCCAGGGGGACGTTGGCATGTGGGCAGGAGAGGGCAGCTACCCCGAGGTCTCTGAGCTCACCTGAACCACGTGGTGTTTGCTCATGTGGCAACTTTGGGCCCCCTCCTTGGGGCCCTCAGCCTGCTTGTCTGTGAAATGGGGACTGTTGAGGAGTGCAAGAGGCCTGGCCCAGCACCTTCCTTCCCTGACCCTGCTCTGGGGTTACTAGGAGTCCAACAGCCCGGTGGGGACTGTGCTGAACCAGGGCTTGAGCCTGTGGTGCCAGGGAATGGGGAACCATGTCGGGGTGCCTGGCATTGGGTGGGGTGCAGGCTCCTGCAGGTGAGGCTTTCTGCCTGGCGTGAGTGGGGGGCGTGGCCTCTGATGGAAATGAGCACCGTCTTCGCAGGAGCGGGGCTGTGTTTCCTTTACTCCGAGAGGCGTGTCCTCCACAGAGTCTTCTGGAAAGTCGGGCCAGGCCTCAGTGGTGGGTGGACAGGACCTTTCATGCGGGGTTGTCCTGTTTCCTGCATCTTCACATCAGTGGTGTCTGTAGAGCAAGGAAGTGTCCCTGGAGGCAGGTCACAGATGAGGGTCCCCCAGAAAGCTCCTAAAAAATGCAGGTTGTGGTCTGGAGGCTGGGAAAGGACCTTTGTGTCTGGCAAGCTCCCTGGGAGGGCATGGCTGCTGTCCAGGGACCACTCTGAGCAGCCTGCTGGGTTGGAGACCCTGCCTCCCTGGCACTGGCCAGAGGGCCTTAGGGCCAGCCCCGGTGATCCCCTGCAGATCCCATGGATCCCCCGCCCTCCTGTGCTGGACCTGGACTGAGGCCCTCCTTAGGGAGAATTCTCCAGGCCACTCTGACCTCCCCTCCCCAGAGCCCCTCAGGTCTGAGACCTTAGCCCCAGAGAAGGGAAGTCACTGAGTTGGGCTGATCCCGGGACCCCACACACTTGCATCGGCGTCTGCGTGCTCGCGGTGGTCCTGTTGCTGGTCTGTGGTGGGTGCTGAGCTGTCACAGTGCCCTCGGGGCCCACCGCCTGAAGCGAGTCTGGCGTCCCAAGTGCTGGCAGTGCCACAGGGCAGGCTCACCGGGCTTGGAGGACTCCTGTGGCTGCCTGTGCTCGCCCCCAGCGTGCAGCTGAGGGAGCCTGGAGGGTCTCCATCCATTCCTGAAGGGCAAACCCTCCACTGCCAGAGGCGCGTGCCAGCCTGGCGGGCAGCCTGCTTCCTTCCTGGGCGGCCCGCGGTAGCATGAGCAGACTCAGCCTGCCTCCCTTGCACCTTCCAGGGCCAGATGGCGGTTCGAGGGGTGTCGCTCTGAGACTAGGGCCAGATGTCCCCGCCACAGCTCCCCTTCCTGGGTCGGTGCCGAGCCCCCAGTCCAGAAGCCCCTCACCACACAGACATACATGCCCAGGTTGCAGCTGCCCATGTGGCCAGCCCTCCGAAACAGCCCCTGCAGGCCTGACCTCCTCCCTTTGGTTTGTGACTTCATCAAAGGGCGAGACAGAACACAGAGGCCGCAGGGCAGGGCAGGGCAGGGCAGGGCAGGGCAGGGCAGGCCGCTGGTCACAATGAGCAGGGGGGGGTGCCCGAGACCCTCTGGTCCTCTGTCCTGGAGCAGGGCCTTTCCCTCAGACATCGATGCCTCGGGCTTGGGGTCGGAACACGTGGCAGAGGCCTGGACCGCCCCACCGCTGACGTGGCCTGAGCGGCCTCCACAGCCTGACCTGTGTCCTCTGCCTCGATGGACTTGCCTGAAGGCAGTTAGAGCCTGATGTCATTGCGCAGTCCCAGCCCCGCGCCCCGGCCTGGCCCCCTGCACGCGGAGATGCACGTGCTGTTGGCACTGAGTGGCCG